ATTACACTTCATTATCTCGCTTTGTTCTTGCACTAGCAATAAAAAATATTATCATAACAATTTTTACGTTTTCTTGACGCTCTCTCGTTTGAAAAGTGGCGATACACATGCAAGTAAAACGTAAAAGTATCTTATAAATGCTTGTTAACGATATGTGCAAACAATTGGCGCAATGTGGACATTTGGACACACTTCTATTATGCAATTTACATCCTTGTGTGCGTTTATTTTTAACTAAAAAACAAGAAAATCGATTATCTTGTTAGATCTACTCGCTTGCTAAATACGGGCATGTGATTTAGCATATACCGTCAGTTGGTGGCACATCTGAGAAACTGGTATGCAAATGTACAAGTTATTGGCATGTGTATAACCGCCTTTAAGTGGGCATGAAAGAAGCTCATTCACGTCGCGTTAATTTTAAATGGCGCATCCGATTCCACTGTCGCGCAGGCGGAGACTTCGTTATGTTCGTTATGCAAGGTATCGACCATAACCGACGCTGTTCTATTTCCAATCTAGGTTACATTCAAGTGAAAATAAGTTGGTTAAGCCTGAATAATAGATGGGTCAGTATTCATGGGACGAGACAATACAATGCTTTATTCTTAGTTGATGTTTAAAGTCAGAGTGAAGTATCATGTTGTGGTTTTGTTTTGACTTACTAGTCTTGCTAGATTATTGCTTGCCATCAAATGAAGATAGCCAGATTATTACTTACTACACATTATACAAAATAAGCAAGGAAAAACTATACAATTCAAATCCCTTAGGGAACAAATATTAGCTTAGGACGACGAGATTACTACGTAGGTAATTAAGTTAAGCCGTTATCTAATCAAACGCGATTACACTAGATTTACCTACGAGTAGTTTGAAGAATGTGTGTGAATTTGTTTACTCTAGCAAGTTGTAAGAGCACCATAATATGAAACAGTTTCATGTTCCTGGAACTGACCACGGTCGGTGTAACTAGATCGAAAGTTAGTGTAATTTTTAATACTTCACAGTAAACTTATAATCACCCATAAGGTGGACTGACGACTTCATAAAGGTAGCAGAAGCGCGCTGGATCCAGGCCGCTCCCAACCGGCCTTTGTAGAAGTCATTGGGGGAGGCCTATCGCCTGTCATACATGGACAGCTTGAAGCTGTCGGATACTAGCTGCTTCAAGCTGTCCGTGTATGGCGGGTGTTTAGCAGTGGACATCCATAGCTAAAAGTCTGATTGAGGATGAGGATTTTAAAATGTACACAGGGCCACACTGTTAACTATCCATCTCCGTTTTTGCTCTCGCTCTAATTAAATGGTGATTCTTTGCGATAGAACGAGATGACATGACTGGCAATGGGCAGTTAACACTGTTGCCGATAGTACACTAGAACTGTTTTGATGTAACATTATTTTACGGAAATAAAGACATTTTGAAATTGATGATGAAACATAATAATAAGACTGGCTCACCCGATGTACAGCGCGGCCTTGTTCCAGTACGGGCGCGACTCAAGCTTGTCGGAGAGCACCTGCACGTAGTCGATGAAGAAGCAGCAGCATGGCGCCTCACACACCATCACCAGGAAGCCGGACAGCATCTGCCACACGCCCGCCACAACACTCGACACGTCGAATAGGAAGATGCCGGTGCAGTTTAGAAGGCCGAACAGCATGCAGACTGTGGACGATAACACGCTATAATTATAATTTACACCCCTCTTCTTTAGGCTCGGCTTCCACCAAGGCGGAGCGGAGCGGAGACGAGAGATTGCGGCGAAACTGGCAGGCTATTTCCACCAAAGCGGAGCGAAGTAGATCGGCGGCGATGCCAGAGGAGATGTGTGCTGTGGCTGTCAGCTGTATTGCTGTCTAATAAAAGGAAAACACACTCCGCACAGCTCCGCTCCGAACCCTCTCAAATTCTATGTATAGAAAAATGTCCGCGCGACACTTCTGCTCTCTTCTCCGCGCGATCCATTTCCACCAAAGCGGAGCGCAGAGGAGATGTGGAAATAAGTCTGTCTAAAAAAAATGTGGTCTGCGCCTATTTTATGCGATATCATTAAATTCGCAAAGGAACGATAGCATAACCCATTGGGTAATCAATCTGGGAGTCAATGGCATTGCAGATAGCATTAAGAACTGACGACAGGACTGATACGATACGAAAGAAATGTTCTTGTATTAAGACCACGCCACACACGCGTGGTAGCCAAGAGTAGGGTCGGTTAACAGCCTGATGGACGAATGACCTGACACAACTTANAGAACTTGTAATGTATCATAGACAAGACATGAGAAGTGTCTATTAGTGTTGATTAATTGAGAAATTAATGGTGATAAGATTTTAAATAACTGTATTATTCTAGAATAGTTCATTGAAAATAAACGATAGCCAGCTATTTATCAAAAGCAATAAAATTTATACAGTCATTTAAAGTACATCACGGAACATAAATCTTCACAAACCTATAAAAACATTTTTTTAGTAGCCAAGATAAATTGCTTTATTTTGTGCAATTCGCGATAAAAAGATTAGAATAACAATAGGAACTAACAAAGTTACCACAAAAGAAAACCTTGCACAAGGACAAATATAAATAAAACTGTCTACTGTCTTTAGAATTTTTTGTGTCATTTATACAACTTTTTTTTGTCTTAATGCTTGAATGATTTACTAATCATGGCATTAAACCAACTTACAGCTGTTGTGGAATTTGTAAATTAAGATGTTATTTTAGAGAAGTAGACATTTGTATAGGCTGTACATTTAGGAAATTATTTTGTTATGTTTAAGGTAACAGTTTGGCTTAAAAATTGCTGCATATCAACAATAATGCTACTAAGTTACTCCCAGTCCTTTACATAAAAATACAGTAAAATTATCATTAATAATAAATGTAATATTTTAAATGGCTTTCATCCAACGGTTTTTACAATTGAAAGTAACCAAAGCATGCACAGTGAAACATTTATATAATTAGCAACGGTAATTGAAATGTTCCTCTTTATTATTCGACAATCCTATAATCAGACCCATGATATCATAGAAAATTTAAAAAAAATATATAGAATGAATTAATAAATATAAATTAGTGATTCAAGTAGTACTTTACTACTTAGGAAGGATGAAAAACCATTATTATTCAGCACAATGAGTGGTTTCCACTTTAATTACCTGTAGTGTTTCCCCATCCAACATTACAAATAAACATTTCCAATTTAAATATGGTATTGATATGATGCTCATTTATATTATTAAAACAGAATGGCAATTGCAAGAACTCTACATACTATAATTTTAAAAACACTTTTAGATTATTTAGCAGTAAAGTTTTAAAATAATACAAATTAATACTTCACTTTAATTGTGTGTTCAATGTGATTGATATTTTAGACATTGCCTAAACATTATGTGACTTGTGTGTATTTAAAAAAGCATTTTACAACAAAAAGCAAATCAATGTCAAAAAGTAAGGGATGTTTGTATAGCACTTAATAATTATTTATTTTCATATCAAAGTAATCCTCATGTACTCTGATAACAGTGTATGAATTCGAAAGTTGTGTCCTCTGGAGATAAGAGATCTTGTTTACTTTGTATTTCATTCATGATGTGTCTCAGAACATTGTTATCTAAGAAATAGACTAAATATAATTAGTATTAGGATTAGTAATGAAAATTAATGTCAAGAGTGTAAAATAAGATCTACAAAGACAAAAAATAAGAATATAATGGTTCTATATTTTTGAATGAAAGAAAGAAAAATATTTTTATTTAGTCCAAACATCATCATAGTTTTTGGCTTGACAATTTAGTCTGGGAACAGAGCTATTATCCACTTTATTTCTAGTCTGGATAGACTGCTGAATTTTGATTATCAGGTGGGTGGGAGTCATGTAAATTGATGATGATGATCATGATCTATGAAATCCAAGATCAAGATTATAGCAACCAATAGTAATGGTTATTAAAACTACAAAAACCAATGCTATAAACGGTTGTAATAGTTTTTTAGTAACTATCAGATGCTTCCTGACTTGTAATGAATTATTACAATTATTCTAAAGGTCATTGTTCTGCTACTGCAGCGCTGTTACAAGAATAAACACTATGGAAAAAGTATTTATAGTAAATTTAACAAAAGAAATAGGAATGAAATTTAAACTGTAAGCTTTATACCTAAAAAAGAGGGTCAAGGATCTAGAGCTCGAAAACAAAACATATGTTACTACAACGATTCATGAAGTGTAATACGAGAAAGTTATAGGTCATTTAAAATGTACAAAAACTACTTACTGAAACTGCCAAATATCCCCAGGCCTCGTCCACCGTAGCGCATCCACCATGGAACGTCATCTTTCTGGGCATTCTCGGCACCTGGCCGAGACATAAGCATACCAATCTTGTCCGCGAACGACTGCAAAAATTACAACACATCACAATTTGCGAAAACTGTACATAAAAAGGCAAGAAATAACTAATTTTATTTTAAATTTACCATTTTCAAGAAAATCAATTCACTGCCTTGTCTTGTCTCTTGACTTGACACCTGTCAAGTGTCAAATTAAAAAACTGATTACCAAGCAGCAAGTCTGGTTCCATTTACAACTTTATTTTATTACAAGTATTATCAACTCCTTGTTTTAAACTAGAAAGGCGCTCATATTAATCGAGTAGTGGCATTAATTAATTAACGGTAATCATTTTACCTAAATGCTAACTTGGTTTTTATTTTTCCCTAATGAACTTCGAGCGCTTGGATTTTTGTTAATTTTTTGTAGGCGAGAACATACCTACTGATCAAATGCGATGCGTTTCGTTTAAGAAATTTATTAAGCACCTATTTTTGAATTATGATTTTTGAAACCAATGATTATAAATTTATTCTATGATCAAATACACAGCAATGACTTGTTTTGAATGAAAACTGTAAAATTATAATTTTTAATTACATATCAGTAATGTAAGAGTAAAAATCAGTCTTAGTCATAAAAATAACTAAACGCATTCTTATGTCGGTCGGCTTCTGAGGGAACGTTTTGCATTATTTTTGCTGAAGTTAAAATTTTTCTGTCGTACTTTCAGTAGTTGCAAAATTCATGAGGAATTTACAAGACTAGGAAATTATGCAACCAGCGACAATGCTTCCGAAACTTACGGAAACCACCCAAACCATGTAAGTGATATAATTTTGTTTTGTGAAATTTTCGGTTTTTACCCTTCCTAGTTCAATAAATATATTTTAGGGTATTATAATCATGATGTAACACTGTGCTCCTCACGTATGGGAGTAATTGAATGTAATTACAAAGTTTTATAACCTGTTGCTAATCGCCATTCCTGAAATTTTGTTGTAGAAATTTGATGATCTCAAAACTTTTACCAAGGTCACATTGTAAGGAGTGCACAAATACTCGAAATAATGTTGACTCGAATATTCCTTGAAGTATTTTATAGTTCTGTGACTGCTAGTGTTACAACTATAATATCACCTAAACCCTTGCAAGCACCTGTAAAGAAATGTATTTTCCATAAAAAAATAGAACCATTTTCTTAATAATTGCGTGGATTACATTAACCATTGCTTAAATACTAGTCTACAATAATTGATTTCTGATGTCAATTACTTTCAGATCATTCTCTGAGGGGGATGGTGTGTGCAGCGCAGAGGTTTTTGCGAACCAAGTGGTGGTGACCACAAATGCAGGGAACCACAACCACGGCAGCTCTAAGGTGAAGCTCAAGAACCTTGTGGACTACAACTGGGAGCCCAAGTTTTATCCTGGCCAGCTGCTCGCTATACACTTGAGCGGGAAATACTTGGCATATTCAATTAAAGGTTTAATATTTATTAAGTTTTTACTACCATTTATCACAAATCATAATAGACCCTTGCCTGGTCTATTTGTTATCATATGAAATAGCTGGTACTTTCTTCTGGCTTTAACTTATAAAATTATTGTTTTTAAAATAATTTCATCCTAATTGCTTCTAGCACCCAATGCGGTGAACCCAGGAACATGGAGTGGAATGGTGCGCGTTGTCTACAACACGGAACCGGGCATCGACAGACGAGCCTTGATCAAAGGCATGAAAGGAGAGGTAGGCGTTTTGTAAAATGCATTTTAATTAACAAACCATTACCTATACACATGTAATAGTTGTTAGCTACCTCTGAAGTTTACATTATCTATGTATACTTGTTGTTTTAGGTGCAAGATTTATCATTTGCCCACATACAGAAAGAAGTGGTGCTAGCATGTATTGACGAACATGGCAACTTTTATGTCCATGAGATTGAAGCTACTGACAGTGGATTACGGTAAGTGCAGCTATTTTGTAAATATAACCTATTTGTTCGTACATATGTATTGTAGATTCATTTCTATATCCGAGAAAACGTGTTTAAAAAATGAATATGGTGGGAGAAAAACTAAACACTATGGTGACTATCATACTGCACCAGTGTTGCCAGACGTCCCGATTTTGGCGGGACGTCCCGATTTTTAAATCAAATTTAAATGTCCCGCGCGGGACAGGCTCTGTCCCGCTTTTCGGAGAGAACTCGACCGTACGTGGCACGTGGTTTAAAATATTATTGATTATACAGGATGTTTGGCGGAAGGTTACACAAACTTCGTGGGTGTCTAATTAAGGTCATTTTAGGAATACAAGTTCGCCCATTTGACCCTAAGTGACCTACTTTTTTTTAATTGATATATTTTTTTTCTCGCGTGTTTTCAACCGATTTTTGAATTGGATATTAATATCGAATATGTCTATAGTCAAATAAAATAAATTTCAGATCCAGAAAATGATTGGATAGCTAGTTACGAGCCGCCAAAGTTTAACAAAAGTACAAACCACGATAAAAAATTCAACTTACAATTCGATTTAAAAAATGATGAGTAGTGATAATGGATTGCCAATGATCTTAAAAACATCTCTAGTTTCTCTTCTTTCCAATGATATATCACACGTAGTAATTAGATATTGAAATTCGTCAAAAATTCAAAGTTTAGGGAAGAAAATGGAATAATAATACAAAAATTCTCCATACAAACACCCTCTATATACGTTTTTTTACTATGTCCCGCTTCTGACGGAAGAATCCCGCTATTTTCACTCAAAAAGTACCAAAGTCCCGACTTGGCAAGAAAAATACTGGCAACGCTGTACTGCACCCACACAGAATGAAGACGCATGGGAGCTCATTTTTGCGCCTACCTGTCTTCGCAGCCTGATATCTGTCGCTCTGCGTATCGCGACGTAGCGTGCAGTTAATTGCATAAATAAAAAGATGACACATTTGTCCAGCTATTGCCATGTGCTAATTATATATTACTAAAGTCCGGTCGCCAAGCTCGTAGAATTTCGTCTATTGACCCCAAGCTACCCATCCTTATCGCTCGCGCGTAATTATATTACTATCGCGCTTGCACTGCGGCCGCCCGTTCCACAGTCGCGACAGCAATAATTACGCCCGAGCGATAAGGATGTGTAGCTTCGGGTCAATGGATAAAATTCTACGAGCTCGGCGACCGGACTTTAAATATTGCATTCCAGATGCACGCTCATAGCGGAGGTGCGCGAAGAGACGGGCTCGCTGGGCGCGTGGCACCGCGTCGTGTGGTGCCCCTACATCCCCGACGACGACGACGACGCGCCCAGCGACGACGTCGCACGGCTGCTGCTCACCACACACAATAATATCGGTGAGATAAGCAAGCGAAATAAATTGTAAAGTTCTTATAGTCTTTTTCACCTAAGATGATCCGTATGACGTTTCGAGTTTGAAAGATTTAGAGATGTCACATAACTAAACCATAGCGATTTATCTATCGATTTTTTTCGAAGAGTTAGTAAAACCTACTTTTAGAGAAATATTTTGTATAGGTGTTATTTAGCAAAAAACATGTTTTTTTAATTACAAATATTATTGTAACAAATTTTTATTAATAATATTCAAATTTCATGGTTCGTGTTCAAAAAAACGATTCCTAAAAAGTACTGGTTCTGTTTCTTTAAATTAAAAACTATTAATTTATTTTCAATGCGTTTATTAAAGTCAATAATCGAAAAATGTAGTTGATTTTTGTGATGTTTTTAATAACTAAGTATTCACTGCAATCGATTAATGAACTGTGGTAATAATCGATTTTATTATACAAGAAANGTGGGTCTCTATAGATTTATTAATAATTGCTGTTATAACAGAAAGAGTTTTGTGCAGAGTTGACTTAATCATCTTTATGTTCAAACCATCCTGTCCTGACGAGTTTGTTGTAATACTGTTGATAATGTTAAACACTTCTGCTTCTGTTGTTGGCTCTAAGTTAAAGGTATTTTGTTGTTTAGGTTTCCCAATACTAGTCGAGACATCGTTCAAATCGACGTCTTGGCAAGTTGGTAGTGCAAGAAAATAATCATTGATTTTATTCGGATCATTTAAATGGTCAGGTATATTGTCCGCGTGCCTGTTGTTGAGAAGGGTGGTATTCTTTATATTTTTCCATAAAATATTAGGCTTTTTTAGATTATTATTTATGAAAGAATTAAAATATGCTTTTTTTTCAAGTTTAATTGCTGTCGTTGTATAGTTCTTTAAACTGCGGTAATAATTTTTAGCCGAGTCCGTTTTGGTTTTGTGAGATTTAACTAAAGCTTCGTCTCTTAAGGTCATCATAAATTTTATTGTATCGGTGATCCATGGTTTATGTTTATCTTATTATTTATCATCCTATTTGCTTCCAGCACCTAATGCGGTGAACCCAGGAACATGGAGTGGAATGGTGCGCGTTGTCTACAACACGGAACCGGGCATCGACAGACGAGCCTTGATCAAAGGCATGAAAGGAGAGGTAGGCGTTGTTAAGAACACATTTTAACCAACAAACCATTACCTATACACATGTAATAGTTGTTAGCTACCTCTGAAGTTTACATTATCTATGTATACTTGTTGTTTTAGGTGCAAGATTTATCATTTGCCCACATACAGAAAGAAGTGGTGCTAGCATGTATTGACGAACATGGCAACTTTTATGTCCATGAGATTGAAGCTACTGACAGTGGATTACGGTAAGTGCAGCTATTTTGTAAATTTAACCCATTTCTTCATACATTTATTTTCTATAACTATAAAAATGATGTGTTTCAAAAACTAATATGCTGGGAGATAATTTATACTCGTACACTAAGGCGATTATCATACTGCACCCATACAGAATGACAACGCGTGAGAGCTCATTTCTGTGCCTGTCTGTCTTATCCGCGACGTAGCATTCAGTTAATTGCATAAATAAAAAGATGACACATTTGTCCCGTTGTCATTATTAGCCTAGCTAGGCGCAGACCACCGATTTTTAGTTGGCCGATAGTTGGTTCGGGCTGTTAATCAGTACAGAGATGTATGAAAGTGCGCACATTACACCAATTTGGTATCGGCCGATTCTTCATACAAATTAGAATCGGACTCAACTCTCGGCCAACTAAAAATCGGTGGTCTGCGCGTAGGCTTAACCATGCGCTATTATTACTAAAGCCCGGTCTGTGAGCACGTATAATTTTGTCCAATAGTACCCGTATATGGTAATAGTACACGTATAATTTTGTCCATGAGATTGAAGCTACTGACAGTGGATTACGGTAAGTGCAGCTATTTTGTAAATATAACCTATTTGTTATACCATACCCAAAGCTAGCCATCCTTATCGCTCGCACGTAATTATATTGCTGTCGCGACTGTGCGACGGGCGCCCGCAGTGAGTGTGCGAGCGCGATAGCAACATAATTACGCGCGAGCGATAAGGATGGGTAGCTTCGGGTCAATGGATAAAATTCTACGAGCTCGGCGACCGGACTTTAAATATTGCATTCCAGATGCACGCTCATAGCGGAGGTGCGCGAAGAGACGGGCTCGCTGGGCGCGTGGCACCGCGTCGTGTGGTGCCCCTACATCCCCGACGACGACGACGACGCGCCCAGCGACGACGTCGCACGACTGCTGCTCACGACACACAATAATATTGGTGAGGAAAAGTATTTTTGTTACCAAGACTTCCTGAAATCAATGGTTATTCATGACACGCACTAGACCAAACCAAACTGATATTTCTTTACAGCAATAAAAGTCACAAAAAATTTATACTCTCGAGCCTAAGAGCCTCTCACTCATGATCTGTGGTTAGGTGTTGTCAAATAATCTTTCTATCATTGCTATTATTTGCTATCGGCTATAATTTTCTGAATAGTTGAGTCCATAGTGGACGATCCACCGCGCGGGCCGCGCTGCTATAACATCCCGATGCGTGGGTAGCGCCCGCTCCTTGCTGCGGCCTATCATACCTTATGGATCATTTCAGACGTTTGGCAGGATTGCAATTTACAATTGCCTTTTTCTGGTCGCGAATTGCCGATGCCAAATAAATCGTCTTGTATGAACCTATTAATTAAACGATGTTCTTCTCCGCAGCTCGCATGTGGAACATCCGCGCGGCGGCGACGGGTTCCGGCGCCGCGGGCGCTTGCGGCGGCGCCGTGTGGGGCGGCGAGCACTCGGCGCCGCTCGTGGACGCCGCCTTCTCGCCCGACGGCACCGCGCTCGCCACCGCCTCGGCCGACGGCTACGTCATGTTCTTCCAGGCGAGTGACGTCACGCTCACAGCTCGCAGGCGGCGGCGGCGCCGTGTGGGGCGGCGAGCACTCGGCGAATACTCTCTAAAACTAAAACTCGGCAATAAATGAAGTGGAATACATTTTACTGAACTATTTTTATAGTTCAGTAATTAAAAAATAAAAATTTGCATTTGAAAGAAGTGCTCAAACAGTAAACACTTGGTTGACTCGCTGAGTTAACTAACGCCCGTATTCACAAATATTACTATGGGGTCTCACAGTACGCGTGGACGCACAGGGTGACACACGAACCAATCACAGGGCTCTATTCAACGCTGTGCATTCCATTTGCTGCTTCACTTAAGCAAGCATCGTTTGTGAATACGGGCGTAAGTCACTTGGTGAATGTCATGTTATGCGAGTTAGAAATGTAAATGCTGTATTGCTGTTTGCGCAGGTGTACATGCACAACGAGAGCAGCCCGCGCTGCCTGCACAAGTGGCAGCCGCACGCCGGCAAGCCGCTCAGCTGCCTCTTCTTCCTCGACAACCACAAGAATTACAATTCAGAGTGAGTCTACTTCAATATTGCATTGAGTCTTGTATCAGTCGACTAAAATACTTTCAGTATAGCTTTGAGTTGAGTCCCTGAGCACGTAGAATATTGTCCAATGACCCCAAGCTACCCATCTTTATTGCTCGCGCGTAATTATATTGCTGTCGCGCTCGCACACTCACTGCGGGTGCCAGTCGCACAGTCGCGACAGCAATATAATTACGCGCGAGCGATAAGGATAGGTAGCTTGGGATCATTGGGCAAAATTCTACGTGTTCCGCAACCAGACTTTAGATGCAGACTTTTCAATATTGCTCGGAGCTATGTAGCAGTCTGCTAAAATTCTTCTATAATGCTTTGAGTTGTTTAAAACTCCACTAGAATACTTAATTATTACTTTCGAGCTGTTTAGTAGTCTAATAGAGTGCTTCAATATTGCTATAAGTCGTATAGTAGTCAACTAAAATACTTCTGTACTGTTTTGAGTCGTATATCAGTCTACATCAACATTGCTTTAAGATTTTTAGCAATAACGGCTGCGGCATCTAAAGCCTGGTTCGTGAGCACGTAGAATTTTGTCCAATGCGCGAGCGATAAGGATGGGTAGCTTGGGGTCATTGGACAAAATTCTACGTGCTCACGGACCAGGCTTTAGCCGCCATAAACCGATAAATATCACGTTCACTAGGCCTGGAATGCGCGCCGCGATAAACGGTTATCATGTCATTTTATCGAATTTGCCCATACATTTTTACGTCGATAAAATATATCACGGCGCGCATCCTAGCCCGGCATATCTCCTGAGTGATATACAACTAACTCTCGCCTCTTTCTCCNAAAAAATTAAACTTGGAATTCTATTTTAAAAAAAATTAAAGTTTTAATCGGGACATCCTAACATGGTGTCCCGATTAAAACTGAGCGGGCGCCCTTTTATCACACTTTTTTCTTTTATTTTATTACTTTTATGTTTTTATGCTATGTGTTTAATAGTCTTTTATTATTTATAGTTTTATTATTTATAGTTTGTGCTTTTTCTACCTTAGCTTAAAAGCTGGAAAATTTAAGATCAGCTACGGGATATTAATTATTATTATTTTGATTTTTTGTATGGAAAAATTACATTGTTTTGCGTAGGCAAATACTTATCTAATTCAATCATTATCTGGATCTAATTCAATCATTATCTGGATCTGAAATTTATTTTATTTGACTAAAGACATATTCGATATTAATATCAAATAAAAAATGCGGTTGAAAACATGCAAGAAAAAACATTAAAACAGGTTTTAGGTCATATTTTGGAAAAAAAAATATAAACAAAAACATCAATTAATAAAAAAAGTAGGTCACTTAGGGTAAAATAGGTGAACTTGTATTCTTAAAATGACCTTACCTATACACCCACTAAGTTTGTCTAACCTTCCGCCAAACACCCTGTATACTGTGGTTTTGACTTGGCTATCTCTTTCGTTAAAATCCCCGTGGCGGGGAATCCCCGGGACCCCATCCTGCTTGTGTCGCAACGCAACTCGCACGCATCGCATCGGGTTGCGTTCATAAACTCACTCATAGTCATAAACATTTTGTATTACAAACTCGGCGCCTCTACGGTTCAAAATAACTATACTTTATTTGAGGTTCAAAAGAACTGCCGCCGTTTTACGTTGAGCTCGTAAGTAATGTAAACTAAAACCGTAAGCGCTTAGGTTTTATTAATCTAAGTCTAAGCGTAAAAATGAAACCATAAACTTGAATCATAATAAACATATAAATATTGAGAGACTTGTTTAATAAGCATAATATTTGTTTGTTGTTGTAATATTTGTTGGCTTATGTTGCGCATACTGTACCTACTTACTTATCGATACTCCATTTAAAAAAAAATAGGTGGCAGTAGCGGCGCGGCGCCCCTATTGTCTTGGCGCCTGTGTGCGCCGCACACATCGCACACAGGGGCGGCGCGGCCCTGATTCCAAGCGGGTGAAGCCGCGGGCAATACTACATATTTCATACTAGCTTTTTGCCCGCGACTTCTTCTGCGATGAAGTGGAAAATGGTTCTAACAGAATTAAAATATTCTAAGAAAATTAATTTTGTTAAATGATTATTATTTTTGATATAAAATCTACTGAGTTTCGAACTCAGCGCATTACTTAGCACCTCTCTATATTTCTATGGAACCAAGTTATCTCCAAAATAACATTCCACACCTTTTTAACCTAGTCAGGTAATAATTTTAATAAAATACGAAGCACGTCATCTATCAATAGGATATATTATGTATATTTTAGAAGTTAATAAATTATGCATAAAATATAAACACTTTAGAAGTTTAGTTAAATCGTAGAATTTCTGAAAAACAAGTACTAAAATCGTACTGAAAAAAAAAGTATTAACATGTTATCTAATTTATTTATTAAACGTCGAATTTTATCAAAGATTTTGGACTAAAGTTTTTGAAAATATTTTATAACCTACATAGAAAAAATATATTTTTAAGCTTATTATATGAGCATAAATAATAGATACAGGACTTTGAAAATGAGTCTGCGGCAATTTTTTCGTAAAATGGTTGTGGGAGATGGGGCACTGTGAATTAAGCAAAAGAGTTTTAGTAAATCCGTTTCATTAATGGTCAACAACAAGGATTGACCTATCTTTCGCAGTTATTAAATAATCTCTGGGTGTTGCTTAAGATAGTAATTCAGGCTTCCAAAATCTTAGAAATTCGCACGAAAATGTAAAATGGCTCTTAATGGAAAACATTGGTTTTAGGCTTTACTTGCTATAATATTATCAAGACATGAATGCCATGACTGTGGCAGTAGTAAATGTATGGAAGCTAGAAACATTGAATTTTCGGATAGATCCAGTTTATTTTATAACTTATTATTGGTACCGTTGGATAGAACTCGTGGAGCACATTCAGAATCAGTAACCAGTTTTTGGATATCTTGAATAGTTTTTAATATTATGTGGTTTTACTAAATGTATGGAGGCTGGAAACATTGAATTTTCAGATAGATCCAATTTATTTTGTAACCTATTATTGGTACCGTTGGATAGAGCTCGTGAAGCACTTTCAGGATCAGTAACCAGTTTTTGGATATCTTGTATAGTTAAGAAATAATCGAGTGAGATCACTTATCGTTTCCACCCTGTATAGTAGGTAATCTGCTTGCCATAATTTTCCGTATGAAGATTAGTTGGGTCTACATTGGATGATTCAACAAGCTGCAGAGGTGTTGGACGTAGTATCGCACGTAATCGCAGATTACGCATTGAAGCGCGTACTTGGCGCGGTCGAGATGCATTGGAATCCAATGGTATCTGGATCGAACAAGTACGACCTATGATCGACGCTCCATGATTTTGCCCGCGAGTCGCGGGTCACCGATCCAAAATGGATTGACCGGCGTGGATTCTATTAATAAGCGCGCTATTGCTTTTTACGGAAAGGTGCGGTCCACGCTTGACATCCTGCTTGTCCTGCTCTTGAATGAGCGAGCTTATGAAACTCGACATGCACTTATTAAAACCTTTTTTTTACGCAGCTCGCATGTGGAACATCCGCGCGGCGGCGACGGGTTCCGGCGCCGCGGGCGCTTGCGGCGGCGCCGTGTGGGGCGGCGAGCACTCGGCGCCGCTCGTGGACGCCGCCTTCTCGCCCGACGGCACCGCGCTCGCCACCGCCTCGGCCGACGGCTACGTCATGTTCTTCCAGGCGAGTGACGTCACGCTCACAGCTCGCAGGCGGCGGCGGCGCCGTGTGGGGCGGCGAGCACTCGGCGCCGCTCGTGGACGCCGCCTTCTCGCCCGACGGCACCGCGCTCGCCACCGCCTCGGCCGACGGCTACGTCATGTTCTTCCAGGCGAGTGACGTCACGCTCACAGCTCGCAGGCGGGGCAGCGAGCACTCGGCGCAGTCGATACGATTGAACATCATCGCAACGACTCGGAAAAAATCGTTTACTGTCCATTGGTTTGGCAATGGCAGCATGATCGAAGATTGGTTATTACCATTTCACTGATATTAAAACGATGTGATTGTTGTAAAAAGAGGTCCCATTTTTAACCAATTCATTCACAATAAATGAAGTGGAATACATTTTACTGAACTATTTTTATAGTTCAGTAATTAAAAACAAAACATTTGCAATTGAAAGTGCTCAAACAGTAAACACTTGGTTGACTCGCCGAGTTAACTTCGTCACTTCGTGAATATTATGCGAGTTAGAAATGTAAATGCTGTGTTGCTGTTGTGCGCAGGTGTACATGCACAACGAGAGCAGCCCGCGCTGCCTGCACAAGTGGCAGCCGCACGCCGGCAAGCCGCTCAGCTGCCTCTTCTTCCTCGACAACCACAAGAATTACAATTCAGAGTGAGTCTACTTCAATATTGCATTGACTCTTGTATCAGGCGACTAAAATACTTCAGTATAGCTTTGAGTTGTGCAAGTAGTCTACTATAGTCCCTGAGCACGTAGAATGTTATCCAATGACCCCAAGCTACCCATCTTTATTGCTCGCGCGTAATTATATTGCTGTTGCGCTCGCACACCCACTGCGGGTGCCCGTCGCACAGTCGCGACAGCAATATAATTACGCGCGAGCGATAAGGATAGGTAGCTTGGGTCATTGGGCAAAATTCTACGTGTTCCGCAACCAGACTTTAGATGAAGACTTTTCAATATTGCTCGGAGCTATGTAGCAGTCTGCTAAAATTCTTCTATAATACTTTGAGTTGTTTAAAACTACTAGAATACTTAATTATTACTTTCGAGCTGTGTAGTAGTCTAATAGAGTGCTTCAATATTGCTATAAGTCGTATAGTAGTCAACTAAAATACTTCTGTACTGTTTTGAGTCGTATAGCAGTCTACTTCAACATTGCTTTAAGATTTTTAGCAATAACGGCTGCGGCATCTAAAGCCTGGTTCGTGAGCACGTAGAATTTTGTCCAATGCGCGAGCGATAAGGATGGGTAGCTTGGGGTCATTGGACAAAATTCTACGTGCTCACGGACCAGGCTTTAGCCGCCATAAACCGATAAATATCACGTTCATTAGGCCTAGGGTGCGCACCGCGATAAGCGGTTATCATGTCATTTTATCGAATTTGCCCATACATTTTTACGTCGATAAAGTATATCACGGCGCGCGTCCTAGCCCGGCATATCTCCTGTTTGATGTACAACTAACTTTCCCCTCTTTCTCTAGTGTCCAGTTCTGGAAGTTCGCAGTGACGGGTGCCGAGAACAACACAAGCATCAAGATCTGGTCGTGCAAGTCCTGGAATTGTTTGCAGAGCATCTCGTTCACGACCGGCCCCTCGGCTGAACCAGCTAGCCTGGGTCTCAAGGCTATGCTGGATTCCAGCGCTAGCTACCTCATACTATCTGACTTTAAGGTAAGGTTCATTTACAACGTTATTGCAGTCAAGTAAGTGAAATAAGAAGGCCGCTCTTTACCCTGTCTTACGCCCGTAGTTCACAAACATTACTATGAGGTCTCACAGTGCGCCTAGACGTACAGGGTGACACACGAACTAATCACAGAGCTCTCTTCAACACTGTGCGTTCGATTTGCTGCTTCACTGAAGCAAGCATCGTTTGTGAATACGGGCGTTAGTTGCAAGACAACTCCTGCCCGGACCACTGACCAATTTCCTTGTCACGACCGTTGACCGATTTCTATGACCGATAATGTCGTTTCGTTCATGCATGACGCGGACTGCGCAAATTTGACCTAACGGCAGAACACAACCAGTGTGACAAATCCTTGAACATAAGAGAAATTGCGTATCTATGTATACTTGGATAAGAAGTACGAGTAAGGGTGGATTCGATACAAGAGTAAATATTAATCTCAGAATAAATCGTCAGTTTTGACATATTTCCCATACTGAAACTGTCAATGTGTCAGTTATACCAGGATAAAAGTTTGGTCGAATCGGGCCTAATTTGTTTATACATAGCTTTTTCTCATAATAAAGTGTTGATTTATTTCCGCCAGGCTCGAAGCCTTTACGTATTGAACATGGCGCGTGACGCAGAAGACAGCACCGCGTACTGCAGAAGTATCTCCGAGTTTCTGCTGCCCTACCCCGTGCTCAGCTTTTGCATCGTCGACGCCGGTAAGTTATTATTATTTACCTTATAAAGATAGCATACACAAAAGCTAGATGAGGTGGTTGCGTTACTTTTCCGTAAAATACATTTTGTAGGCGCCGCGCGGGAGGTTGCCACACGACAACGCTCAAAAGACGCTAGTGTAAAAAATGTGAAAATTGACATGTTATAATCGCCATCAGTTGCAGTGAATTTATTACATTTAATTATTGCCTCAAAATTTTCCTGACACCAAGTCAGGCCATATCTTATACCAGCTATACAAAGTTCGACCTATAAATCACCATATGGATGGTTCTTCGGAAATGGTGTCAGAAATTTCTAGACTATGGTGTTAAACCTTCTTCCTTTTTGACTGCAGAAGAAGAACAAGCCAAGTGCGAGTCAAGCTGCGACGACCCGTTCCACCGCAACGGCTCCGGCGACGACGCTCCTGCTGAGCCCGATGACTTCGACCTACAAGGCGTAAGTGTTTCTTATCTTCATTGATTTTTAAATAATTTGTAGATCCCAGCAATATATTACGGAACTTTTGAGTAGTGAATATCAAAAGTCCGGTCGCCCAGCAGATGTAATTTCGTACAATGACCCCTAGCTACCGCACAATGAGTGTGCGAGCGCGACAGCAATATAATTACGCGCTAGCGATAAGGAGTGGTTAGCTTGGGGCCATTGTACGAAATTCTATCTACTCGGCAATCGGACTATGTTTAATTTTTTTCTTCTCCATTACCTTATTTTAACGATAAGGACAATGTATACCTTGGTCTTTTCGAGTCTCTAGCAATGTGAAAATAAATGTCAAAATATAAATTCCCGTGAGAGACTTTTGAATGGACTTCTCATAGTTTTCATTCTAACTAATGAAATAGACTAGATGACAAAATTTAAATTGATTTGTTCGTCAGACAGATAATTAGAAAATATTAGACTCATATTTTTTATTTTCTTTCATAATTAAATAATAACAGTGCTACCGACCCGTTACCGTTACCGTTACGTCACGCTTGAGTAGATTTTTTACTCAAAAGTGACGTCACGCGACATTTCAACTCAATTTATTACTGTAATTATTCGATTATGAAAAAAAAATAAAAAATATGTGTCCAAATTTTTTTATTGTCTGACTCTGACGGACTAAATAGAATTTCCCAGTCATCGTCCCTATTGTTACTTCCCCAGCACGAGAGCCCCGGTGCGGAGTGCGGCGAGTCTGGGCGGCGCGTGCGCGTGCGGCTGTACATCGTGCAGCCCAAAGGACTCCAGGAGGGCGAGCTGGTGTATGCGCAGCCCAGCCCGCGCACGCATGGTAAACCCCTTTTAATGCTTAAGAGCGTTTACGCGAAGCGCGGCGTTTCAAGGGGCATCATTGGAAATGATTCGCGCGCGGCGTTTTTTAATAGTTTTCAAATGTTTATAGAAAAACAATAACAATGAATTATACAGTGTGTCCGGGCATGTAGTGATCAAACTTTAAGGGCGTAATCTATGGACAATTTTATCGGTGAAAATACTTTAAATTTGGGGCTTAACCCATTTCTCGCATATTTACAAGGATTTAAATTTTTAATTTTAAATTTTCACCTCTTCCTTCAAAAACAAGTGATAGCGTGGGTAACTTAACATTAATAAGCAAATATTTTATATCATGCGATAGCCAATAAAATTATCTACTAGTAGAAGTAGAAAACAGACACAAGTTTCATACATTTTAAGGGAGTAAGAATGGATTTAATTAGAAAAAAACATGACTTTTTTCACTTCATTTTCAGTTATTTTCCAACACAAGAAAAACCAGGTCGTTAAGGTATGTTTTATTTGCATTGTATTATTAGTATTTGAGCCATTCTACAAAAAGAATGTAAATTTATTAGTCTACGTCTATTAGTTTTGTCGTAATTGTTGAACAGAGATACCCATTCCCAGCGGTTTCCATAGTAATCGGAATAGGTTGTGTGATTCTTTCAGGCAGTGCATTTTCGCATGTCGCGTGCGCTATGGAAACCGTTGGGAAGGGGTATCTTTGTTCAACAATTACGTCGAAACTAATAGACGTAGACTAATAAATTTACATTCATTTTGTAGAATAGCTCAAATACTAATAATACAATTCAAATAAAACATACCTTTACGACCTAGTTTTTCTTGTGTTGGGAAATAACTGAAAAAGATGTGAAAAAAATCATGTTTATTTCTAATTAAATCCATTCTTACACCCTTAAAATGTATGAAACTTGTATCTGTTTTCTACTTTTACTAATAGATAATTTTATTGGCTATCGCAAGATATAAAATTTTTGCTTATTAATGTTAAACTACCCACGCTATCACTTGTTTTTAAAGGAAGAGGTGAAAACTTAAAAATAAAAACTTAAATCCTTGTAAATATGCGAGAAATGGGTCAAGCCCCAAATTTAAAGTATTTTCACCGATAAAATTGTCCATAGATTATGCCCTTAAAGTTTGATCACTACATGCCCGGACACACTGTATATCGTTTCAAAGTAAATATTTTAAAGAAGATGTTATTTTATTATATTAAGCTATTTTTATGTTGAATTAAAGAAGAATAATGGTGTAAAAATCACTTTGATTTTTGGGTATTTCACATTCTTTGAATTTGTGATTTCTTATTGTAAAATGCTTAAATATAAGAATTTTCTCAACTAACTATTTGCCTAAGGACCTATGCTATAGGATATACATGTTTGTTATATCGTTTTCACAGTATTTTTATAAAAATTTCAGCTTGTAAACTGACGCTAAAGTGGAAATTTGAAAACCTGTATGGACTTATCTTGATAGAATTCTTAAATACTATACTAATCGAAATATTTTCTCAACTAACTATTTAGACGACGAAATTGCCTAATTATTTATGCCTATAACATATTTGTAATGTAACTGGTTAATGATTGTAACGGGTTGAAAAAGTACTGTTTTTGCGCCAAACGGCGTAAACGCTCTTAACAAGGCAGTTATTTGACCACAATCGCATCTGATGTTAAGTAGGATGCAGTCTAGGATGGTACATATCTGCCCTGTAAGTGCCTATTCACTCTCGCCTTGAAAAGGCCCGGATTATAGTCTTCGGGAAAGACAGCATCAGCCAGCGAATTCCAGTCCCTAGCTGTTCGCATTATAAAAGAGTCATCGAAACGCTTAGTGCGAGCTGGTGGAATGTCAACAATATAGGAATGGTACGCTAACCTGCGTCTGGTTCCCCGATGATGGAAGGGGGCTGGCAGAAGCTGGAGACCCTTTCTAAAGTCCGGTCGCCGAGCGTAATTATATTGCGGCCGCCCGTCGCACAGTCGCGACAGCAATATAATTACGCGCGAGCGATAAGGATGCGTAGCTTGGGGCCATTGGACGAAATTCTATTTGCTCGTCGACCAGACTTTAGGGCAAAGAGGCGAGGCCGTTTGCCAAACTCTTCGCTCGAGGCTCACTGAGGGTTCCTTACATGAACTACTTAGGCCCAGTTTTTTGATTCATAGTTAAAATAACTAATTGTTAAATTTTGCTACTAATGGTTAAATATTAACAAAATGTAAACAAATAGTTAAAAAATGTACTAAAAGTTGATTAAAAAAACCGGGCTTTAGTCGCACTTTCTCCTGACTGGAAGCGATAACATAAATGTATACTATATCTCCAACTTAATACCTGATGCCCGGCACAACTTTCAAGCCGTGTGGGGGAAGTATTAGCACGAAGACATCGTTTTTTTAGTTTGGGTACTTGATAGAGGTTGCAAACCGGGCCAATGCCCGGCATTCATACTAGACATTGCCACCCGGTATGTTTCTCAACCCAGCCGGGGCCGGTTGCAAGAGTTGCCAACCCGAACCCGGTGGGTGCCTAAAAAGTCACAGGGCCCGGTTTACAATCTCTAGTTACTTGAACTGGTCGATGTTTTTGTCCATGTTGTTGTATTAAATGGCATTCTTGTCAGGTCTCTCGGATCTCGCGCTGGAGCCGCCGGCGGCGTGCGAGGCGCCCGGCATCGCGTCCAGCATCCTGCAGCAGCAGAGCCAGCAGCTCAAGAGCCTGCTCATGAGCAAACAGGTAAAGCCTGGTCCGTGAGCACGTAGAATTTTGTCCAATGACCCCAAGCTACCCATCCTTATCGCTCGCGCGTAATTATATTGCTGTCGCGACTGTGCGACGGGCGCCCGCAGTGAGTGTGCGAGCGCGACACCAACATAATTACGCGCGAGCGATAAGGATGGGTAGCTTGGGGTCATTGGACAAAATTCTACGTGCTTACGGACCAGGCTTTATATTCGTTTCAGCAAAATGACGTCCACTGCTGGACAAAGGCCTCCCCCAAGGTTTTCATCAATGCACGGTCCTGCGCTGCCCGAATCCAGGCTCTTCCCGCGACCTTTACCAGATCGTCGGTCCCCCTAGTAGGAGGCCTGCCCATGCTACGTCTTCCAGCCCGTGGTCGCCACACACGCACGACCTCATATTAAGCAAACTTACTTAGGTGCTATATTTCTACAAAAACGCATAATGTCATTTTACGGCCATATCGCACCTATTAGAGCTACAAACGTAAACGGCACAATGTAGCTTAATATTCTGTCGTTTCTCAGTATAATACTGTCAGGCTGACATCAAAAGATACGAGTATATCGACGATGTGTTTATTGCAGACGCAGCCGGGCAGCCTCATCGGGCAACGACCGGAATCGCCCGTCATCACGCCGCAGCTGAACCTCATGACTCCTGACGCTTTCAGGTAAGTGACGTAATAAAAGTTCAATGTACTATCACCAACAGTGTTAACTGCCCGTTGCAAGTCATGTCATCTCGTTCTATCGCAAAGAATCGCCATTTGATTAGAGCGAGATCAAAAACGGAAATGGATAGTTAACAGTGTGAGCGTGTGTACTTTAACACACATGACATTTAATGAATCGGGTTATTAAAAGCCAAAGTTCCTTCTATCACAAGGTCATTGTTTACCATAGAAAACGTCATTAAAAAGGGTTCGATCCATTTGTTACGAGTATTTGCATTTAGTTTATTTATTTATTTTCTTAGAAAACCAACAGCGTTTTTCTAAGATCAAATTATAGCTGAAACTTATCCAAAATTATGGCAAATAACAAGATTAAATTCTAGATTGACATGCTGTCTTTAAAACACGCTTTCTCTTCCTAGCTCACCCGGCAAGCGCGAAGAAGACGACCCACCCCTGTCGGCGACGCCTGACGTCACCGGCGTTTCGCGCACCTCCACAGGTCAGTGCTAGTCTAAAGCCCGGTCCGTGAGCACGTAGAATTTTGTCCAATGACCCCTAGCTACCCATCCTTATCGCTCGCGCGTCATTATATTGCTGTCGCGACCGTGCGACTGGCACCCGCAGTGAGTGTGCGAGCGCGATAGCAACATAATTACGCGCGAGCGATAAGGATGGGTAGTTTGGGGTCATTGGACAAAATTCTACGTGCTCACGGACCAGACTATAGTAGTGTACACATCTTACTCAAGGTTTATTCATTTACGTGGTTTTATGAGTTTTCCATATGTGGTTTTTTACATGTAGATTATAATGGTAGTATCAAAAGCGTTTGATCGTGTTCTTCATACAAAATTTTCACACACTCCTGTCAGAGTCTTAAGAGCGATAATAAAAAATATGATTGCCTTTTCATATTAAACAAGAATAATTAAATATCAATGTTATCTACTGTTGGAGTGTCTCCTTTCGCATAGGAGCTCCCCAGGGTTCAATACTATAGCCATTGTTATTTTACCTATGTTAGTAGTATGACGGTTATAGTTCTACAATCGTTGCGATCACATACATAGCAGGTAGGACTAAACTAGTCTTTTATTTGTAACGGGACTATTCCCACCTCTCGTTCCCACCGCTGCAACTCCTGTGTAGCCAGGATCTACAGCTTGACCGCCAATAAAAACCGAACCACTAAAGGTCATGTTTGTCCCATGCTAAAGTTAAACTTTCATTAGACCCGCAACGAAATTAATCAGAGGTGGAATTGTGTAAAGCAATCGTAATCATTTGACAGTTCATAACGTACGATTATTCTGTCAAACGCTTTGTCTAACTGACTTTATCGTACGTTATGAACTGTCAAATAATTACGATGGCTTTACACAATTCCACCTCAGAATAACATGGGAGGAGTTCGAAGTTAAGGTTCGGCTTTCTACTTAACTTGACTATGTTAGTAGTTCGACTAAGGTAGTCTTTTATTTGTAGGAGGCTTAGTAGTAAGCGACAGCGTCAGCGGAGGCACGAGCGCCAGCGGGGGCAGCGGCGCGCTCGGCGGCGCCAAGCTCGCCTCCGCCGGCTCCAGCCCCAGCCGCGAGGTCCAGGAGATCATGGCGCACGGCGACTACTACCCCCCCATGCAGGTACACCTTACTGCGCCGGGATAAGGCTCACATTCCAACTGCACCGGCTCCAGCCCCAGTAGTAGTAGAGCTTATTCTGTTGTAATAAAGTTTAAATTCAAACGACTGCATAAGTTGGATCTCAATAGAAAGGGAAGGTTGTGGCGTTGAGGAGACACAAATTAATAGTAAGGATTTAACAGTCGGTTAGACAGACCACAAGATGATGTTTGACGACTGTCATCTGAGAATGAAGTAGTGATTAGTGCAAGTTAAATCTAAAGATGGCGTCTTCTGCAGCCAGTGCCAAGCGCACTCACCTCTAATGTGAATACAGTGAAATTATTTAAAAATATATTAATTTTGACAGGAAAACGACGACGTAGAAGAAGATACAGAACCGGAAGCTCCAATCACAGTCATAACTCCTACAACTGAGCCGGCCAACGCTCCCGCCAACGCGTCGAGCACGGTCAACGTCGCTGCCTTGACCAACGCGGCTAATTTAGCCAACGTTGCAAATCTGACTAACGCAGCTAACATGGCTAACGTTGCAAATTTGACTAACGCCGCCAACATTGCTAATGTGGCTAGTTTGACCAACGCCGCCAATTTGGCCAATGTTGCCAGTTTGACCAACGCGGCCAACTTGGCCAATGTGGCCAATCTCCCGGCGGCGCTGGCGGGCGCGGCGCGCAGCGAGCTGTTTGTACCGCCGGAAAAGCCGCCGCCACCCGGCAAGCTCGTGCATTCAAGTGAGTCTTTATTTATTTATCGTCCATTTTCTAGTCTAGCTTCTGCCTGCGACTTTGCCGGCTTACCGTTAGATAATTACTTGGAACTAGTGGTGACTGAGTTTGTCACTTGTCATATTATGTTTGTCTCGAAGCGCTAAGTAGGGCCCAAAAGATAAGGAGACATGTAAAGTGCCCCTTAAGAACTACCTTTTTTATTTACTGTATTTTGACGTTCATAAGTGCCACCAGTGGTCAAAATTAAATAAAACACTTTTGATTTTGATTAATAATAGGTTTAATTCTATTTTTTCTAAATATAACAGCAGGCCTAAGTTATCTTCTAGTGATATTCCCTGTCCAGTAATGAATTTTCAGATAATTTTGACTGTCTGTTTCTGGCTTACGACACCAAATTTCTGTCCAGTATATGCAGCTTCCTTTCAAACCTCAATACTTCCTTTCACAGACAGCGACACGTCCTGGCCCCAAATCTCGCTCGCGCAGATATCGGAAGCCAATCAGCGCAAGGCGTCGAGCGACAAGTCGAGCAGCCAGTCGCTCAACGCGTCGCTGCTGACCGCCAACGACCGCGAACGCGACCGCGACCGCGACACGCCGGCTGAGCGCGCTAGACTTGATGCCCTGGACCTGAAGCTGGATAAACTCACAGGTTGGTACTTGGTACATGTCTGAGTGAGCGCGCTAGACTTGATGCCCTGGACCTGAAGCTGGATAAACTCACAGGTTGGTACTTGGTACATGTCTGAGTGAGCGCGCTAGACTTGATGCCTTGGACCTGAAGCTAAACAAACTCACAGGTTAGTACATGTCCTAGCCTTGAGAAGTCGAGCAGCCAGTCGCTCAACGCGTCGCTACTGACCGCGACCGCGACACGCCGGCTGAGCGAGCTAGACTTGATGCCCTGGACCTGAAGCTGGATAAACTCACAGGTTAGTGCATGTCCAAGTTTAGACAAGTCGAGCAGCCAGTCGCTGCTGACTGCCAACGATCGCGACCGCGACCGCGATACGCCGGCTGAGCGCGCTAGACTTGATGCCTTGGACCTGAAGCTGGATAAACTCACAGGTTGGTACTTGGTACATGTCTGAGTGAGCGCGCTAGACTTGATGCCCTAGACCTGAAGCTGGATAAACTCACAGGTTGGTACATGTCCAAGTCTCGACAAGTCGAGCAGCCAGTCGCTCAACGCTTCGCTGCTGACCGCCAATGACCGCAAACGCGACCGCGACCGCGATACTCCGGCTGAGCGCGCTAGACTTGACTCCTTGGACCTGAAGCTAGACAAACTCACAGGTTAGTACATGTCCTAGCCTTGACTAGTCGAGCAGCTAGTCGCTGCTGACCGCCAACGACCGCGACCGCGACCGCGACACGCCGGCTGAGCGCGCTAGACTTGATGCCCTGGACCTGAAGCTGGATAAACTCACAGGTTGGTACTTGGTACATGTCTGAGTGAGCGCGCTAGACTTGACGCCTTGGACCTGAAGCTAGACAAACTCACAGGTTAGTACATGTCCTAGCCTTGACAAGTCGAGCAGCCAGTCGCTTAACGCATCGCTGCTGACCGCCAACGACCGCGACCGCGACCGCGACACGCCGGCTGAGCGAGCCAGACTTGATGCCCTGGACCTAAAGCTGAATAAACTCACAGGTTTGTAATCGGTACATGTCTGATGCCCGTTTTCACCATCAATCCCTAATTTTTTAGTGACCCCTATGGTAACACATAACAGGATTTTTGTTTTCATAGAGGTCACTTAAAAATTAGGGATTGATGGTGAAAAACGGACATGAGTCTCACTCGCGCTGTCTCAAAAGCGAATCAGCGCAAGGCGTCGAGCGACTTCTTGTAATCACACGCATCACTACATATTACACAGTACCTTGTGCTTACCATAAGTTGACGTTAGGTGTGCTCGCTAGCGAATACGTCAAAAACATCTATGAATATTTTATTTCTTGAAAGTAGCCGCTAGGGGCTCTGCACAATATGTCATACATTTAACGTCATTTTTTTACGCAGTCGCTAGCGAGCACACCTAACGTAAACTCATGGTAAGCACACAAATCTCACAACGGTTACAGGGGACGAGCAGAATTTTCACTGTAGGAATCTATAATATAAAAATGAATCGCAAAATGTGTTGGTAAGCGCATAACTCAACAACGCCTGGACCAATTTTACTAATTCTTTTTTTAAAATGTTTGTTGAAGTCCAAGGATGGTTTTTACAGCGAGAAAAGTTTGAATAATTTCCGGGTAAACCCTAAAAAACTCGAAACTTCACCCCTAAGGGTAAAACGGGGTCCACGCGTACGAAGTCGCGGACGGCCGCTAGTATTATAATACAACGATCGACAGTCGGTTTTAATTGTGGACAAAAGCTTAAAGAAGAGAAGAATTTATGAATGTTTTCTTCAACAGAGCTGGTGTCGGCACAGAGCCGCGAGCTGCGTGCACTACGAGGCGCTGTGGCCAGCCCGCGCGAGGCCGTGGACGCCGCGTTGCACGCGCACGCTGCTCGCACCACCGCCGCCATCCACGAGGCACTCTCCGAGGGGTAAGGATTCCTTTTTTTAGGGATGATGAGGGGATGGAGTAACAGCAAACTGGATTTAAACCTAGGGAAGGCAAGAAGCAGCAAACTGGATCAAATCCTTCCACTTTACATTTTGCTATTCTTGTTCTTCTTTTCGTGTCGACAACAAACCTACACAGTGTCAGTGTGTAAATGTTGAAGAGTCGACGCACTTACGTTTCTCGTTCTCTTTCTCTCTCTACCTTTTTCTGATTTTCGTATCAGTTAATGTAGTCGTATATTATAAGGACTTAGCTGTCAATTCGCCCGTATTCTGCCACTAGCTACCTTTGGGTCTATACCGTAAAACGCGCGTGTGTCCGCCTATTATTGCACAAAAATCTACGGACGACCCCCGCCTCGCGTCACATGAACGCCTGCGCTATTCATACTATTTTACGTCGTCATCATCCATCATCATCATCTCAGCCATGGGACGTCCACTGCTGAACATAAGCCTCCTCCAATGCTTTACATTAGAGATGAAACAGGTAGTTGTTTGCCCGGATAGTTGGCCCATTGTCTCGTTGCATGTACGANTAGACTTGACGCCTTGGACCTGAAGCTGGATAAACTCACAGGTTGGTACTTGGTACATGTCTGAGTCTCGACAAGTCGAGCAGCCAGTCGCTTAACGCATCGCTGCTGACCGCCAACGACCGCGAACGCGACCGCGACCGCGATACGCCGGCTGAGCGCGCTAGACTTGATGCCCTGGACCTGAAGCTGGACAAACTCGCAGGTTAGTACATGTCCTAGCCTTGACAAGTCGAGCAGCCAGTCGCTTAACGCATCGCTGCTGACCGCCAACGACCGCGAACGCGACCGCGACCGCGATACGCCGGCTGAGCGCGCTAGACTTGACGCCTTAGACCTGAAGCTAGACAAACTCACAGGTTAGTACATGTCCATGTCTCGACAAGTCGAGCAGCCAGTCGCTGCTGACCGCCAACGACCGCGACCGCGACCGCGACACGCCGGCTGAGCGCGCTAGACTTGATGCCCTGGACCTGAAGCTGGATAAACTCACAGGTTAGTACATGTCCTAGCCTTGACAAGTCGAGCAGCCAGTCGCTCAACGCTCAACTCACAGGTTGGTACTTGGTACCAGTCTGACGCCCGTATTCACAAACATTACTATGAAGTCTCACAGTGCGCGTGGACGAACAGGGTGACACACGAACCAATCACAGAGCTCTAGTCAACGCTGTGCGTTCGATTTGCTGCTTCACTTAAGCAAGCATCGTTTGTGAATACTGGCGTGAGTCTCGCTCGCGCTGTTTCAAAAGCGAATCAGCGCAAGGCGACGAGCGACTTCTTGTAATGACACCCATCACTACATAGTACTTATCTCACAACGGTTACGGGGGACGAGCAGAATTCTCACTGTATGTGTATTATATTACAACTATCGACAGTCGGTTTTAATTGTGGGCAAAATAAAAAAATATGTTCACAAATTAGCACCCAAACTTGATCTTGAAATTGCGTAAAAGCACTGGGCATGACAAATCTATGATGTCTACATGCGGATTAGGTTTGTGACCAGCAGGACTTGTAACGCTGTTTCGTTCATTATTTTCAGCCAAAAGACGTCCACTGCTGGACAAAGGCCTCCCCCAAGGATTTCCAGATTTTCGTAGCTGATTATGAGTAATGCTGTTTTTGTGGTTTCGAATATACTTGTCGGTGACACTCATAATACTGGCATCTCGCTTCTTGATCTCTCTCTCTCGCTTATTGATATCTGTCAATGTCATGTCAAAAATAACTAATCATGCAGCATTTGGACCTCGCATCTACGTATTGCCATCTGGCGGATTTTTCATACGCGAAAATCCTCATTGTGAGCAAAATAACAAAAATATGTTTACAAATTAGCACCCAAACTTGACCTTGAAATTGCGTAAAAGCACTGGGCATGACAAATCTATGATGTCTACATGCGGATTAGGTTTGTGACCAGCAGGACTTGTAACGCCGTTTCATTCATTATTTTCAACCAAAAGACGTCCACTGCTAGACAAAGGCCTCCCCCAAGGATTTCCAGATTTTCGTAGCTGATTATGAGTAACGCTGTTTACTTACGTGGTTTCGAATATACTTGTCGGTGGCATCCATAATACTAGCATCTTGGTTTCTGAGAGAGGAATGAAACATTAATCCTTAATTCGTTCCACAGAGCTGGTGTCGGCACAAAGCCGCGAGCTGCGTGCACTACGAGGCGCTGTAGCCAGCCCGCGCGAGGCCGTGGACGCCGCGTTACACGCGCACGCTGCTCGCACCACCGCCGCTATACACGAGGCGCTCTCAGAAGGGTAAGGATACCTTGACTGTAGTTGTAGGAAGGCGAGAAGGGCTGGAAAACCAGCAAGGTGGAATAAATTTCACTCCTTTTTTTAGAGAGGCGAGGGTCTGCAGTAACAGCAAACTGGATCTAATTTTCCTTTCCACTTTCAGTCCGTTCGCTTGTATCAAATTTTGCTCTTATATTCAGTGTAATATCTTGAATTTCTCTCTCACTCTCTCTCTCTCTCTCTCTCTCTGTCTCTCTTTCTACCTACCCTTTTTTTTAATTTTCGTATCAGTTAATTTAAGTAACCATATCTGTGAATTTGAAAGTCAAATTCGCCCAAATTCTACCACCATTGGTCCTACGCTAAAACGTGTGCGGGCGTTTATACTATTTTTGGATACAGATATGCGTGTGTGATGTGCGTATAAAACTGAAACTGAAAGTTTCAAACTGGTCGCGTCATGTGTGGTCTCTCAACAGACGCTATAGCAGAAACTTAGATGCAACTCAAAAGTAACTTGCAGTTGCAGTTTCGTTGCAGTTGCGTTTCACCGTCTGTTCTGAGCCTTAGTGGGATCGGCGGCGTTATTTTCAAGCGTGATTTAATGTAACACCTTGTATATTTGGGGCCTCCTACTGGGTAGACCGACGATCTGGTAAAGGTCGCGGGAAGAGCCTGGATGCGGGCAGCGCAGGATCGTGCATTGTGGAAAACCTTGGGGGAGGCCTTTGTCCAACAGTGGACGTCATTTGGCTGAAACGAAGGTAAAAACAGGCATTAGTCACCTTCGTCAGCCGTCTTTAACGCTGTTTGTTCGCAGCTGGGAGCGCATAGCGCGCGTGGGCGAGGCAGCGTCGGGTCGCGCGGCACAGGCGGCGGGGCTGGGCGCAGCACGTGCGTTGGAGCCGCTGGCGGCCGCGCTGCAGCACGAGCTGGCCGCCAAGCTGTCCGCCACCGACCACTTGCTGCGCGACAACATCGACAAGCTGGCCAACAGCAAGGTACCACACTACCAGAGTAAATACAACTGAGTAGGTCATCGGACTTCTTGGCGGGAATCTGAAGCGTCATGTTAGCGGTTTTGTTTTATTTTTTATTTTATTTTATTTATTTATTTATCTTTATTAAAGAAACATACAGCCTTATTTGACACATGCAGCTTAAAATTAAGTGGGTTATACATTGGCCTTTAAAGTTTCTAAAGCTAGGTTGTACAGTCAAAGTTGAAAAGGAGACAGATGTGTAGCATAATTTATGCATGCAAAAGAAAATATTAACATTAAAACATTATAAAAAATTAACATGGATACACTAAAGATCAAGTAGATTGAAGGAGACGGCGAAACTTCACAATGCGTTCATGAAAGATGACAAAATGCTGTATTATATTTGTTAGTGGCTCTAATGATGAAACTATTTTTACGATAATTTGATATACAAATGGGTATACTAAAAGTGTTCCTGTGTCTGACTCGAGGTTTAATACATTTAAAGGCTAATTTACTTAATAAATAAGGACTATCAACCACATTATTATTACCCTCGTATTGGCACTGAACTCGCGCGAAGTGTACTCTTCTAAACACTATCCGTTCGCAGTTGGGAGCGCATAGCGCGCGTGGGCGAGGCAGCTAGTGGTCGCACGGCGCAGGCGGCTGGTCTAGGTGCAGCGCGCGCGCTTGAGCCGCTGGCGGCCGCCTATATTAGTGTACAGAAATCCACAGATGCCCAGCGCCGCGCGTGTGGAAACGTCACACGCACGCGTGCCATACTGCGTTATTTATACTGTTTTTCGATAGAGACATGCGTGTGGACGCCAGCGGAGGCCATAATATGAAATATAAAACTCACGGAATTACTCTCTTCAAATCTAAATATTTATTCAGTACTTAAGCCCTTTCCAGGGCACTTGTCTTCTTCCTCGGTCCCTCACTGATGAGGATCGCGACTACATAAAATATAGTGTTCCTTCACAGACTGCGGTCATAAGCTGTGTGGACCGCACGATGCAAACCCCCGCCCACCGTCTTCCTCACCGCGTCCGACCATAGGCTGGTTTTAGTGTCACGCGGACCGTCCGGTGCGGACCCGCTCCGCACGGCCAATCTGTATGAACTTCTAGGGAGCGTTTTAGAGTAATGCGGTCCGGAGGAACCGCTCGCTCCCTAGCAGTTCATACAGATCGGCTGTGCGGAGCGATGCGCACTGACAGTCCGCGTGACACTAAAACCAGCCATAGGGTTCACTTTAATTAAGGATTGATGGTAAAAACAGGCATTATAGTCTTTTTCACGTAAGATGATCCGTATGACACTTCAAGGTTATCCATATTACGCATACTACATAATTATGCAGAATATTTTTGAAAAAATATTTGTATTTTATTAGCAATATAATAAAAAAAAATTAACTACTTGTCTTGAAATATATAGTAAAATCTGAGTCTATTCATTAAATTTTAATTAAATACGATGTAAAAATATTTTTTATTAAATGTATGCAATGTGTGAAACGGAATAGATTTAGTGCTGGGGTATTTCTTGTATAGTAAAATCGATTATTGCCGCGGTTCATTAATCGATTGCAGTGAATACTTAGTTATTAAAAACATCACAAAAATCAACTATATTTATCGATTAGTGACTTTAATAAACGCATTGAAAATAATTTAATAGTTTTTAATTTAAAGAAACAGTACCAGTACTTTTTAGGAATCGTTTTTTTGAACACGAACCATGAAATTTGAATATTATCAATAAAAAAATGTTACAATAATATTTGTAATTTAAAAAAAACATGTTTTTTGTTAAATAACACCTATACAAAATATTTCTCTAAAAGTAGGTTTTACTAACTCTTCGAAGAAAATCGATAGATAAATCGCTATGGTTTAGTTAAGTGACATCTCTAAATCTTTCAAACTCGAAACGTCATACGGATCATCTTAGGTGAAAAAGACTATAGTCACCTTCGTCAGCCGTCTTTAACGCTGTTTGTTCGCAGCTGGGAGCGCATAGCGCGCGTGGGCGAGGCAGCTAGTGGGCGCGCGGCGCAGGCGGCAGGGCTGGGCGCAGCACGTGCGTTGGAGCCGCTGGCCGCCGCGCTGCAGCACGAGCTGGCCGCCAAGCTGTCCGCCACCGACCACCTGCTGCGCGACAACATCGACAAGCTGGCCAACAGCAAGGTACCACACTACCAGAGTAAATACAACTGAGTAGGTCATCGGACTTCTTGGCGGGAATCCGAAGCGTCATGTTAGCGGTTTTGNTACTTATTATTATTCTGTGCTACAAGTAACTCACTATTTTGTCAACTCAACCTACTTTTTTCAATTACAATGCGACCAAAAATCGTAATTTACAGGTAATTTAAAAATAATTAAATATTTAATACCAGAATGAAGTGTCTTTTTAGAAAAGTTGTGATTTCCAATTTTTGGGGAATGGTGTCAAATGAGGGCTATCGTTTTTATACTTAAGAGTTGGCACCCCTGGCGATTGACAGGACCTTACTCTACAGTGGCGCCATCTTGATGAGTGCAAATGCGATAGTCCTCCTACCACTTTCGCGCTCACCAGTTGGTGCCACTGTCTTCGCTACTAGCAAGTGACAGGACCTTACTGTACAGTGGCGCTAACTGGTGAGCGCTAAAACGATAGCCCTCATTGTCTATTGTTACTTCCCCAGCACGAGAGCCCCAGTGCGGAGTGCGGCGAGTCTGGGCGGCGCGTGCGCGTGCGGCTGTACATCGTGCAGCCCAAAGGACTCCAGGAAGGCGAACTGGTGTATGCGCAGCCCAGCCCGCGCACACATGGTAAATCCCTTTCGAAAGTCCGCTCGCCGAGCGTAATTATATTGCTGTCGCGCTCGCACACTCACTGCGGCCGCCCGTCGCACAGTCGCGATAAGGATGGGATAGCTTGGAGTCATTGGACCGTCGACCGGACTTTAGAGCAAAGAGGTCAAACTCTTCGCTCGAGGCTCAGTGAGTGAGGGTTCCTTACACGAACTACTTAGGCCCAGTTTTTTGATTCATAGTTAAAATAACTAATTGTTAAATTTTGCTACTAATGGTTAAATATTAACAAAATGTAAACAAATAGTTAAAAAATGTACTAAAAGTCGATTAAAAAAACCGGGCCTTAGTCGCACTTTCTCCTGACTGGAAGCGATAACATAAATGTATACTATATCTCCAACTTAATACCTGATGCCCGGCACAACTTTCAAGCCGTGTGGGGGAAGTATTAGCACGAAGACATCGTTTTTTTAGTTTGGGTACTTGATAGAGGTTGCAAACCGGGCCAATGCCCGGAATTCCTACTAGACATTGCAACCCGGTATGTTTCTCAACCCAGCCGGGGCCGGTTGCAATAGTCGCCAACCCGAATCCGGTGGGTGCCTAAAAAGTCACTAGGCCCGGTTTACAATCTCTAGTTACTTGAACTGATCGATGTTTTTGTCCATGTTGTTGTATTAAATGGCATTCTTGTCAGGTCTCTCGGACCTCGCACTGGAGCCGCCGGCGGCGTGCGAGGCGCCCGGCATCGCGTCCAGCATCCTGCAGCAGCAGAGCCAGCAGCTCAAGAGCCTGCTCATGAGCAAACAGGTACGAGCACTTGTTGCCCGGTCTCTCGGAGCTCGCTGGAGCCGCCGGCGGCGTGCGAGGCGCCCGGCATCGCGTCCAGCATCCTGCAGCAGCAGAGCCAGCAGCTCAAGAGCCTGCTCATGAGCAAACAGGTACGAGCACTTGTTGCCCGGTCTCTCGGAGCTCGCTGGAGCCGCCGGCGGCGTGCGAGGCGCCCGGCATCGCGTCCAGCATCCTGCAGCAGCAGAGCCAGCAGCTCAAGAGCCTGCTCATGAGCAAACAGGTACGAGCACTTGTTGCCCGGTCTCTCGGAGCGGTTGCTGACATAGCCCGACGAATTAACAAGCTGAAGTAGCAGTGGGCAGGGCGCATAGTACGCAGAACTGACGGCCGATGGGGCAGCAAGGTTCTGGAACGGAGCCCGCGTACCTGAAAACGCAGCGTGGGACGTCCACCCACAAGGTGGACCGACGACCTTATAAAAGTAGCAGGAAGGCGCTGGATGCAGGCCGCTACCAACCGTGCGATGTGGAAGTCATTGGGGGAGGCCTATGTTCAGCAGTGGACGTCCTGTAGCTGAAATGATGATGAAATTGATAAATCTTTCGTTGGCCACTTTCTCATAGAACGAGTTCTCAGTTAACCCCTGGTAATATACAGTCGACAGTAGATCAATTTACACTTCTAATAGATCCACACAAGGTGCCACAGTGCTGTCTGAGCTTACGAGTGTGTATCTATTGCAGACGCAGCCGGGCAGCCTCATCGGGCAACGACCGGAATCGCCCGTTATCACGCCGCAGCTAAACCTCATGACCCCTGACGCTTTCAGGTAAGTGACGGAATACCCAAATAAAAGTTCAATGTATCATTAACACACATGTCATTTGATGAATCGGGTTATTAAAAGCCAAAGTTCCTTCTGTCACAAGGTCATTGTTTACCATAGAAAACTTTATTAAAAAGGGTTTGATCCATTTGTTACGAGTATTTGCATTTTCTTAGAAAACCAACAGCGTTTTTCTAAGATTAAAATAGCTTAAACTTATCCAAAATTATGGCAAATGACAAGATTAAATTCTAGATTGTTATGCTGTCTTCAAAATACGCTTTCTCTTCCTAGCTCACCCGGCAAGCGCGAAGAAGACGACCCACCCCTGTCGGCGACACCTGACGTCACCGGCGTTTCGCGCACCTCCACAGGTCAGTGCTAGTCTAGATAGTCGTAATAGTAGTGTACACACCTTAGGTACCCAAGGTTTATCAATTTACGTAGTTTTATACGTGTTTTCGATATGTGGTTGTACTATCGGCAACTGTGTTAACTACCCATTGCCGGTCATGTCTCTATTCGTTTCGTTCTATCGCAAAAAATCACCATTTGATGAGAGCGAGAGCAAAAACTGAAATAGA